TTTTTTTACAATATGTGGCAATATGCTTTTCGCACTCTATTTTAGCTGCCCCGTATTGCTAGTTTGCATCTTTTATTACATTCTTTGTAGTTAACGAACGACAATGCCGTCGCCTCCATCTTATACTTTATAAATGCCACTTGCTTTTCCTTTATGTGATGCTTTACAGTTTTATTAAGCCATACAGGTTTTGTTTGTGATCTTTTACTTTTATTACCCAACGGTATGCATTTGGCAATATGTAAGGTGTTTTTAAAACATTCCCACTTTTGGTCCGAGTTCAGTTGGTGAAATAAATTTTCCCATTTGATGTCCCCCACTAGGTGGCGCAGTTTATCAAAGTTAGCCCTTCTGGAATTAAGGGTTCTTGTCCTACCGGCCTGCTTCCCTTTCCTGTATCCAATATAGAAAGTAATCACATTGTGATCACTATTTCCCAGTGTCTCCCCAATATAATTTTCACACTGGTTATGATCTCCCCTTTGTGACAAATTTATTGAATTTTAATGCAGGTTTCGATGTGATGCATTGGATTGCAGTGATTGTTTTTAATGGTAACCACAAACCCTCCATCCGTTTTTTCAAGGCTTAGTCCACACATGATAATGCGTAGTGATCATATGAATCTGTTGTTCCAATACTATTTCTATCGTATCTGAACATGTTGGAGGTGGCCTTAGTTTAATTATGTTTTGCCTTTTTTATGACTGAAATACTTTTAAATGGTTTATTAAAGATTATGTATTTATTCTTTCAGGAATAATGTTAACTACTGTTTCCCCAGATCTCTCTTTCATTATACCTTTTTGCTACTAACTGTGGTCCTCGCAGCTTTAGGTTTGTAGGTAAGGAGTTAGGAGCGTGGACATTTTCCACAATTACTTTTATTAAAGTTACACTTATTTTCCTAAGTTGTCCCCACTAGTTTTTTTTTACTAACCTGTCCCTAATCTGCTGGGATTTTGCTGTCAGAATAATAAGTTTTTACTCAGGCTAATTAGATACCAACTTACATTTCAGTTCAGAACTGTTTTTATTTGGCACACAATGTATATATAGTAAAATAGGAAAGAATATGCAAACAGCACTCAACCTTTTCAACCAAGTCAAATTCATATTTAAATATTTTAACTAGGGCTGCGGAAATTAATGATTAATCCCTCGATTAATCGTTAATTTTTTTGATCGATCAAAATTATTTTGATCGGTACTCACCTCTCCGCCGGCTTCCGGGTCTTCCGTCGGGGATCCGGTGACGTTTTTGTCCGTGGCGGCTAACGAAGGGAAGGGGGAGGAGTCCGGTGACGTTGATGTCCGTGGCGGCTAACGAAGGGAAGGGGGAGGAGTCCGGTGACGTTGATGTCCGTGGCGGCTAACGAAGGGGAGGAGGGAGGAGTCTGGTGACGTCGATGTCTGTGACGTCACCGGACTCCTCCCCCTTCCCTTCGTTACCTGACGGAATCACTTGGGCCTGTGAGTCTCTAACATACACATAATATACTAACATATACTAATGGCAGTTCCCTGCAATAAAAGAGGTAATATAGTCACCTTGTTCAAGTGCTGCATCCTTTGTCAGTTTCTTTAGCTTTCAACACTTCCAGGAATGTTGGATACTTGTATCCCTCACTACACACTGTGGTTTAATCCTCCAACCCCTACAGGACACAGTATTGATGTACGGGTCAGTGGATGGAACCACAGTGTACAGTGGGGTACAAATCCCAGAAGTGTCAAATGCTAATGAGCCTGATGGAGGCTGCAGTGCTTGGATGGAGACAAGGGCCACCGGATAGGTGAGTATATTACCTCTTCTATAGCAGGAAACTGCTAATAAGATTTTTATTTTTTTTAGGGTGACTGACGGGGTCAATTGTAAACTAAAACAGTGCAAATTACAATGCAATAATGATTGATAGGAAAATATTTTTGGTGTTTTTTTTTTCTACAAGTGTATCTACTTCCCAGTCAGCATCCCATACATTTGTGGATACTGGACCAGCACTTTTATTCCAGCTTAGAGATCCATTTTGTGTGGTTTTACAGGAAATCAGAATGCGCCCTATTACCTAAAAGTAGTTGGATCTGTATGTGCGTTATAATTAATCGAAATTAGTTGATCGATTTAAAAAAAATTTCGATTAATCGAACAGGAAAATTTGAATCATTACCAGCCCTAATTTTAACTGTTCATAAATGCTGCAATCCTGCAGGAATCCGCTGGAACAAAAGATATCAAGCATTCTGCTGGCAAGAAAAACTCTGGGGAGAAATCATTGTCTAAAGTGACTAAGGAGAAAGTGCAAAAATCAGAGAAACCCAAGAAAGAGAGTAGCAAAGCCAAATCAGCTTTGGCTCAAACAACCCCGAGACCAAGATCACCTGCACTGCAACTACAGCCTGTAGTTATTCGAGGGGTCACCTACTATAAAGCTGGAAGACATGAAGAAGCTGAAGGCATGACAAACCATAGAGGTATGAGCTGTTTTGCTGAACACATCTCTTTTGTTTACACATAGCTAAGGGGGTTATTCATAAAGCTGCCGAAGGCAGCCGAGTGTATAACCGAGCCGAAGTGGAGTGAGCCGAACACTGTTTGGCTATACGCTTCAACATTTGGATCGGCTGAGCCGAAGCTCCGGCAGTTCACTCGCTGCTGATTGCACCTATTCTCGTAGGGGTCGAATGGCAGTGAGTGAATAGTCAAATGCCACCAAACAGCATTGGGCTCGGCTATTCTGTCAGAAAATGTTTTTAAACAAAATGTTAAATAATTTATATGTAAAAATTGAAAAAAATAAATAAAAATGTTATAAAAATAATAGAAAAAATGTAAAGAAAAGAAAAAAAATACAGCATGGTGTCCCCTCCCAAACCTTATTAGACCCTTTAGGTCTGGTAGGAAAGTTAGGAGGGATCCCTATTTTTTTTAAAAAGAAGTGTGGGGGCTCCCCCCAAAGTCAAACCAGGCCCTTAAGGTTTGGTAGGAATTTTAAGGAGGAACCCCACCCACAAAAATGGGGGGGGAATGTGGGGTCCCCCCTAAAATTCCCAACCAGACCCTTGATCCGAGCACAGGCCTGGCAGGGCAGGAAAGGGGGGGGGCGAGTGAGCGCCGGATGTGCCCCCTTGTGAATGATTAAGGGGTACTTGTACCCCTACCCATTCACTAAAGGGTTAAAGTAAATGTTAAAAAAAGAGGCGAGACTTTAATCAAAAAGCCTTTTAATTATTAAAGAAAAAAAAAGGTCAATCATGATGTCCAGCATTGTCCACCACTATGACGACGCAAAATAATTTATTTATTTTTAAACGACGCCACCGACCGCACGCGACAAACTCCTGCTGCAGAAAGAAGAATCTGACAGATGCAGGCAAAATATTAACAACTGGGTGGAATTAGCGGTGACATCACCACTAGCTCTGCCCCACTGTTTACATTTGGCCGTCACCTGCCAGAGTCTTCAAGCAGGTCCCGGACAAATGAAAATAACTGGGCAGAGCCAGATGTCATGGCCAGCTCTGCCCAGTTGTCATGTAATGACAGCCCAGTGTCCTCAAATAACCTGAGGATGCTGGTTTGTCATTACATGACAACAGCTGGCCATCACGGCTGGCTCTGCCCAGTTCTTTTATTTAATTACAGACAAGCGTCCTAAGGTCATCTCATTACAGTACAACAACTGGGCGGAGCCAGCTGTCGTCTGCCTTCGGCTGCTGTATGGGCTATAGTGATAAAGCCCCTACAGCAGCCTTTCAGTTCAGCCGCTGGAGCTCTTCGGGTTTAGTCGAAGTGAGCCAAAGGATAAGCCGAAACTACGGCTGGATCCTTCGGCTCATTAGTGAATATATCTAAAAGTTTTCTGAATTTTTTCTGTTTTCACTGGAAACAAATATTTTTTTATTTTTTAGGGATGCACCGATACTGGTTTTCCGGTATCGAGTACGAATATTCTTTTTCCGGTGCTTGATACTGAATACAGATACCGGAAGTCCCATTAACTAAGTCAGGCGGCAAGTAATGACTCGCCACCCGGCATCCCAATCAGCAGAGAAGCAGTCTCCATGCTTCCTCGTCAGGTGACCACAAGTGACAAGGGAGCAGGAAGCCAGGTTTCTGGCCAATCAGAAAGCTGGAGGTGTGTAATGACACACTGCCCAGGCTTCTGTTTTAACGGGCACGTTTAAACAGACTCCTGGCGGCAACTTTGTTTACACTTGTAAAGCAGACTGTTGGCTTTACAATAGAAGTGATTCTGTCGCTTCCCTGTCTGTGGAGGGATTTCCTCTCACTTCCTGTTGTGGCTATCAGACAGGATGTGAAGGGAAGGGAAAGGAAATCTGGACAGAAAGTGAAGGGAAATCTCCCCAGTGCGACAGAGGCAAAAAAAAAAAAGCTGTCAGGGGTTATCCCTCCCTTACTGTATCCAAAACAAAACAAAAAAGATTTCAGTTCTACTTTAAGGGGCAACATTAAAAATATACAATTCCTTTAAATAACATGCTTGTGGAATGCCCTGACCTGCCTTGGCACATCTGTATACAACCTACTAAAGCAAAACTTACATTTACAAGGAAAATAAATGTTGTTTAAATTGCTGGCTGGGGATTCCCTTCATCTATAGCAGACCCTTATCCTAGATGAAGGCTGCTGTAGATTTCAACCCCCCAAGAAAATGATGTAGTGCCCCCGAAATTCCATACCAGGCTCTTCAAGTCTGGTATGGACTTTAAGGGAGACCCTACAAGCAAAAAAAGCAAAAAAACTAAAATATCATTGGGCTCCCCCCAAAACTCATACCAGGCCTTTTAGGTCTAGTATGTATTTTAAAATCCACTATCAGACCCTTTCCCAAGCAGGCCAGGAAAGGGCATGCTCGCCCCCCAACTCCTGAACCATACCAGGCCTCATGCTGTCAACATGGAGGGGGCCTTACCAGGGATGACTTCCCTGGCAAAACACCTTGTACACATGTTGATGAGGACATGGGACTCTTCCACAACCCTGGCCCAGTGGTTGTGGGAGTCCCCTTTAAGAATAAAGGGGGCTCTAAGATGCCACTCCTCCTCTGTGGGAACGAGTAAAGTGTATACAGTACCCCTACTCCGTCGCAAAAGAAAGTGAAGGTGTAAATAACGACACCCAGGCATTTAAAAAGCGGTACAAATACTGCTATTACATATGATGATTGGCTTGCACTGAAAGTGGTAGGGGCAGCAGATGTTCCAACCGGCAGAATTCAGGCAGAGCCCCTCCCCCTCTGTGTGCTGTAAGTCAGAGGTAGTGATAGAGGTAGTGATAGATCCCATCTCCTTCGTTTAGCGTTCACACTGCACAGAAGCCACAGGACAGATTTGGTCCCTCCGGTACTATTGTCCTTTATTTTATTTCCATCACCCCTGTATGCAACCCAGCTTCTCAAATACTTACCTTGCTCAATCCAGCTATCTTCATTGTGTGGCCCTGCTTGGCGCCACACAGCCTTTCCAGCAAAAATGTCCCCTGAACTCAAAAAGGGAAGATTTGCTATGTTTAAAGGAACATTTAGAAATGTTATTTGTGCCTAAAATGTATATTTTTTGTCTTGAATTCCTCTTGGAAAAATAGCAGTATACTTCCTGGTATGTGAAGGTGCATAGGCACTTCTGTACATACAGTCTCTTAGCTGTATATCTGCAGTGGGAAAGCTAAGGCACTGCTGTCTCTGACTGGTAGTCTCGTGAGATTTAGAGTGAGATTTGTTAATGTTACTACTGTGCTGCTTACTGTTCTCCTTGCTGAGGTCTCTGACATGAGGAATCAAAGTTCTGTTTCTGCCAAGATGTCTCCCCACACAGTATAAAACGAGGCATAGTAAGTAAGTGGTCGGGGGAAATCAGCTGTAGGGAGCCCACAGGCAATACTGGTGACTAGCTCTTTGCCTTCTGCCTGCCATTTTTGGGTACAGCTTCCAGAGTTCAGTTCCTCTTTAACTTACACACCAGCTTATAGTATGTATTCTAGTGCAGTGCTCCTTTATTGCATGACCGGACCGCACTGAGACTGTGCGGCCCGGTACCATGTGGTCCGCGGACTGGTATCGGTCCACGGACTGGTACCGGTCCGCGGACTGGGGGTCGGGGAACACTGTTCTAGTGGATGCTATTGTAAGTGGTCCTTTAGTAATCCCTCAAATATCTTCCCTATAACAGAAGTTATACGTACAGGTCTCTTCGTACAGGTCTCTTCTTACTGTATGAATACCTTGATCTCCTTTTAAGTATAGACACCACATGTGATTTGTCTTGTGTAATTAACACACACTGCTTCTGTCACGTGTTTTTAGTTTAACTGAAATGTAGTTTTTAAAGTGTTTCTAAACCCTCACGTTTTTTTTGCATATATCTACTGCTAGCATAAGTAGCTATATGCAAAAAGTAAAAAAAAAAAAAACTCTTTAAAAGCAGCTTAAGCTTACCCCTGTCTTCGCCGCGCGCTCACGTCTGAAAATGCTGGGCGCAGTTTGGATTTTCGGCCGGGAGACGAGGAGAGACACAAGGTAAGTCTATGGACGCGTGCACCCGCATGCAGACACCGTGAGACAGGAAGTGCCAGCAAGGACAGGGGAGTCAGCGCTATATCGGAGATCCGCAGCAGCGCTGGAGAGAAGGCTGAAAAGGACAGGAAAGAGGAAGATCGGATTAAGAGACATCATTTAAGGTAAGTGCTTTAATTAACATTGGGGGTAGGGAAAAAAGTTTTTGACTTTTAATGTCACTTTAATGTCACCATTCAATTGACTTTAATGAGAAACTGCAGGTCAGTGCAACCAAAACTGCAACATCCAGGATGTTATCTAAAGAAGCTGCACAGTATCATTCTAGTGAATGCCCCACTGACCTGAATATATTGTTGAAGCACCATGATGCTTGCCTACAGAACACACAATACTGCATATAAGTGTATGTCCTAGGTACAGTAAAAATATGTGACTATAGATGCTTCAGTGACATTTGCCAAGTTGTTGCTTATTTAAATTATGGGCTAGATAAAAGCATTTGGTCCTTTATACTATAGCAACACACATACATATATACCAATATATATAGGTGTTGGTATAGACAGTTTTGTAAATGTTGAACTACAGATATTAACCAGTTGTTAAACCCCCTTCCCATCCTAAAATTGCTATAAAACAATAGCAATAAACTTTACTAAATGTTCAGGGGGTGCCAAATCCTCTAATTTCCAGATGTTTTTTTCCAGTGCTATGGTCAGTAATTTGTGAACATGTATTATATATCCTTCACTGTCTGGCTGTGTCTGTCTAATATGAGATCTGAATGGAAAATCAATGCATTTGCCTCCAATGTTTGCTTCCGGTGGGTGGGCTGCTGTATGGAACTACATAAAGGAAACAAAGAAAGATGAGTAGGATGTACTCAGACTTTTAACCTGTTCTTTACTTAGCTAATAATTAAAGAAGATAGTGGAA